AAAAAAGTCTAATAGTATTTTTATATAAAATACTAATAAAGTCAGATGCATACCGGGCGCCTTTTTTATATTAACAGCCTTCTAATTGCATCCTATAATTTGGTAATACTATATTATTATAAATATAATAATTAGATAAAGTTCCGGCAGACTATACAGCTATCTGGGTGGTGTTGATCAAATAAATATCTTAATTTAGGACTATTCTTAAAAGCTTTTCTAAAGCAGTTTAGGACTTCTTCTTCAGGCTTCTAATCAGGATCTCGGAGTTTCTTATTGATATAGAAATAATCATCAAAATTATAAAATCTATTATTTTTGTCTGAATTGCAGGGACAAGGTCGATCTTTGTTCCTGTGATCCTTATTTATCAACATATTTTCTTTTTGGGAAGTTTGTTTTGGTTCATCAGATTGGCCCTGGAAGGTAGCCTGGCTGATTCAGCCTGTTAATTCAATAGATTATCTAATTTAGAAATTTAGGCGAATCCAGTTATATATATATTATATAATCTTAAGAAACTCAGGAAGTTCTTTCTCCTTCATTTTATAGTCAATCAATCTGGTTTGCCTTATTGCCATGAAATTCCCTATTATTTCCTGAATTGATTCAAGAAAGTTATAAATCATCTGAATCAGATTAGATATCTTACTTAGCTTCAATTCTACTGCTTCTGAATAGACCAGTTCCTATTGATTTATATGATTTTTAATAGGACCCTTTGTTCCCAACCGAAGCTTGGTATATTTATTAATAATTTCCCTTATTCAGAACTAGTTAGTAGAAGCAACCCTGGCCTTTAGAGCTTTCAAAATCAGATAGGGTCTTTTCTTATTAAATATAGCATATTGATTTTGCCTGCTTAATATAGAATCAATCAATTGGCTTAAAGAGACTAGTTCCAAAGTGGTTTCCTTCTACTTCTTAAACCAGTGGTAGTAGTCCTGCTTGATTTCCTGATATAGCATTTCTTTCAGTTCTGTTTTATTCTATTTATATACTTAGTCGGGCTCTGTCTGGGATCTTTTTTTAATCAGCTATTTCTAATATTACGGGACGGATGGATTATGCTAATCAAAATATATCTTTAAATAAGAAGAAATAGCTGGAGAGCTATTTTATCTGTTTATACAAAATTCTTTTATATATATACTAAGCTAGTACTAGTTTAGTATATAGTATGCGAGGCTTCAGGTGCCAACTGGTGCCTGAAGCCGAGCTCTATATCAGGGCCTTGGTCCCATAACAATATTAATATAATTTTTATATAACTATTCCAGCTTATAATAGTATTTTTTCCAGCTAATACCGATTCTTTTTCTACAAGCTATTCTTCTATTTATACTGCTGTTAATATTCCCGGGCCTCTTGAGATAGCTGTTCAGGAATATACTATATAATATATCTCACGGGTGAGTACTGATAATTTTAAAAAGAATATTATTAAAATTTATAATATAATACTGGAGAATTATCTTGATCTAAAATAAATTTATTATAATTAAAATCTGGAATTTTTTCTCAGTCAGGGTGTCAAATTGGAAGCCGTATACAGGTTTGTTGGTAAAATAAATAACTGGCTTCTAGATAGAAAAATTAATCAAAATAAGAATCTTAAGTTATTTTGAGAATCTTATACTTTAGCAGTCTTTTTATATAGTAGTTTATATAGAGATATAGGTATTTATAATCATACTGTATAATTTATAATTACTTAACTACTATTACCAGCAGCTTAATTATCACTATTGTAATATTTAATAGTTAATTTTGTAAACTAAAAATATCTTTCTGTACTTTGCTTTCTTACTTTAGCTTTGTTAATATACTATTCAAGATATGCTTTAAATTCTTGGACTGTATTATTCTAGTATATATGCTAGTTTCGACAGATAAAAGATCTAAATTCAGTAAAAAACTTCTCAATAGGATTTAGATTAGATAAATAGAACAGGAGATAGACTAGTTTAATATTTCTTTCTGTATATATTCGCTCGATCTGCTCTGAATAGTAAAAGAATATATTATCTATAATCAGAACAGATCTAGGCTCAGGCCACTTTCTGCAATACTGAAGAAGTTCTTTGATAAAGTCCTCAAAGAGAGCTGCATCAGTTATACCTCAAAATATACAAGCAAGCATAATTCCATCCCGGGAGTAAACAGGAAGAATGTGGTAGCGTTGATCCCGGTGGAATTTAGATATCTGGACTGGTATTATACAGTACTACCTACACTTATCTTGCTATTAGTCTTGATCTGGTGTATTACCCGAGTCAACGCTATCTCAAAGCCCGTGTAGGGGCCGACTCAATGTATCAAGGGTGCCTTGTTTATACCCAGTAAATACTAGAACGGGATTTTTGGCGTAACCAAATCTCGAGGTTTATTCTGCGAAGTCGCCGCAGTCATCTCACGCGAAGCATAGTCTTGAGGGCTGATGAGAATGATTGAGATCATCCTCCTGTTCGCCGGGCGAAGGGAACAGGCATACGTGTCGTCTAGACCTAAAGTAGCTAATCTTGAGCCATTTTTGTGCCTTGGCATACTCAGCATACTATCTTCCACCAATGCAAATCACTTGTTAGAAATCGAGTAGGGATTAAAGCTTTTTATAGACAAGGTCACTTGTGCCGCGCGACTGGGGTGATCATTTATTATTCTTTAAAACACACTCACCCTAACTCACTCCCGATCGCGCGACTGTAAAGCGGCCTCACCCGTTAGCTCACCCGAGCGGCACCCACCCGCCTTCTGGCCGCGTTCAAGCCACACGCCGGGAGGTTAGTAGTTGGGTGGGTGACCACCAGCGAATCCTCTGTTGTATGTCTTTTTACTCCTCTGGTAATATCCAATAAATAGATGCTGCTCTGTCTCTATCCATCTAGATCTGCCGGCTCAATGTGGTGACTGATATGTTGTAGAGTACTAAGTCTACACAAAACAGACAATCTTCCTGTCTCGAGCTATCAGAATATACTAACATGTCCCACTGTAACTCTACCGCCCCCGTTTGCTTCATTGCGATGTTCTTACTGGTCTTGATATGGATTCTCCGATACGCCACGGTAGGTGTTGAATTGGACTACTTATCTATGACCTGTTAAGTCCTTTTAGCCCCAATGTTTTTCAGAGCCTCGGTTAGCAGAAATGGGGGGTATTTTCCAAGACGTACTATTCTATTACCCTTTCAATTCGAAGCAGGCTATCCTTCATTAGGTGTTTCCGTTGCAGAAGAAAAGTTATGCAATAATAGTTTACTTGAAACTTGATTACATCGGTTTCTTCTACAGTAATTGACAGCCAAAACTCATAACTAAGAGCTTTGTGGTTGTTACAACTGTAGCGATACTGCTGTTTATGCTAATTGAATCTCAATCTTGCTTTCTCTTCTCTTCCGGGTTATATAGATACGGAAAGTCCCCCTGGCAGAATTCTGTTTATCGAGACTCGACTCTGTATTATAATTCGCAGGATATCCTCGAACTAAGGCGTGGCAAAATTGTTTTGAGCAGATCGACCAACCCGACAACGGAGGTAACCACGACGAAAGTAACTGCCAGGTAGACTGTTCGGTAACTTTGGTAATTTACCAGCTATCTAAGCCAAAGCCCGGCGACCTGGTGACCTACATACTCGTCGACAAGGTCATAACGGCTTCATGAATTTGATAAATCTGGCCATACGCGCATAAGTATCATATCATATATCATGATTTCTAATCCGTGGTGGCTGTTGCGCATGCAAAACGCCGTTTGGTATCGTACAGTACATGCTTCCGTAGTCTGGGGTTACAGCCAGGTGTTGTTGCATTTTCGCAGAGTGGTGCCCCGTACGGAGACGTACTTTAGGAATACTAAATACTAAGCGAATAGAACACATCAGTATGGCGAGGTCTAGGCTCCAGCCCGGAGGAGACATGCAACTTGTCCGAACCTGTGACGGAACCTAAATTTGTACAGTAGTACATACTCCAGCTGTACATGTACCATACCCGATCGGGAGAAAGGTGCCCGAGCAGGTCCGAGGTCAATGCCGGCCCCTCTCAGTCTCTGCCAATCCCCGCAGGGGGGCGAATAGCCATGAACCAGAGTCTTGACCGAGTCAGCCTAGACCTACAAGCTCGGTATCTGGCGTCTTGTTGCAGCTGAGATGTATCTCGTGAATTTATCAGGATTCCAAATCTCAATGCTCGGATTGATCTGACGTGCCCCAGATCAAATCACTGTCTGCCAATGATAAGTTCGACTCGATCGGTCGATCTGCCTAGAAGCCACTGCTCCTGAGTGCACTTGAAATGTTCCACTACAAGCATATTGGGCCCACCTGCCACGGCAAATTCCGAGTTAGGCCCGGGCCGCGGCCCTGGCGATAATCATTTTGGCTGTTCTCCTTATCGGTACGTTTGAGCACAATGCGCGCGGTAGCCATGGGTCTTGCCGGTGTGGTCCTGTTCGATTGGAGATAAGATATGAGTATGGTATCGGCACTTTCTCTGTCGCTTTGAACGATGATCAAATGAAACCGGTAGATCTCAGAATGTTTTGGCGATGATCGGAGATCGGGGGTTTATCAAACTATTCGGATGGGTCATAGGACGTGATACAGCGGTGCAGTGTGCATGAATCACACCCCTATTTACAACTAGTGCTTGCTGATACTCTCGCTTGATTGCTCCAAGGCCCCACCCTTGTATCGCCAGCACAGGTACAATGAAGATCAATCACGACATCACCCCTCCAATGGCGAGTCGAGATCAACTAAATAATACCGGTACATGCAAAGAAAATGACTTTTGATCCCTAAAAACAGCTGGCAACCAGAAGACTCCCACCCCCACCCCCCCAATTCTGTATCTTGTAAAGCACTCAGTAGTATAGCACGAGACCACACGGAGCACCCTTATAAGGTGGCACCGATTCTTGCCCGAGATCGCCGTCTGGCGAGTGATTCGATTCAGAAAGGACGGAGGAGTAGTTGGTAATTTTTAGCATTGATGCCGATAATTGAGAAGCTCGCAGGCGCCAGATCTATTCTAACCACGTCGCCCTCCTATTCCAAGCGGCTAGCAGGCTCATGTGGAGCCAGCAAAGCCACACACCGTCATCGCGGGGTATCTGGGATTCCTTGTCTTCGAGGCCAGCTGACACCAAGGTATTATGCATGTGGTACTCCGTACTTGCTAATTCAAAGAGAGAGTGGTCGTCGAGGTATGATATTCTGGAGACGTACTGTCGTTTCGTAAAATACGACATCCAAGACCGTGATTTGAAGCATGCATACACAACGGGAGGTTGTTGCTGTGCTCGCTGCCAAGAACTTAAAGCCAGGCTCCAGTCGCCTTGAAACCCGAACTTGTCTTTGACTACAACCATCTCATAGTATCCTTGGTCCCAGATCTTACCGTCTTTGCACGATGCGGCAGAGTGAAACCCAACCTCCGTTCCTTGACCCAGACGTTCATGCTCTCTGGAGCGAAGCGATTGAAGAGTTTCAGGAGAAGACCGGTGCTGATGAGCAGAATCTTCTCGCCGAGTTCAGCAGCATCGATGCCGAAAATTGGGCCACAATCTTCGAGACGAAATTTCGAAAGAATGATATACTCACCAAGGTATCTCACGAAGTCGCCCTACGAATGAAAAAAATCCAAGGCTGTGTGAATGTGATATGCTCAGCCTGTGACCTAACAAGCTCGGTACGTCACTAGAATTCCATATACCTGATCCTTGCGTCCATCTACATCACGCGAGGGGGGGGGGGGGGGGTGGTTTGACGCTTACTCAATGGGCCCCCTGCTCTAGGTATTCGCCGCTGCAGCTCCTGCTTCAATCCTGGTGCGAGGATTTGCCAAAGCATTTTGTGTATTTGCAGAGATCCAGCAGAGACAGGACGATATCATTGCATTTTTCGACTCTATGGACAGCATCTTCGCAGATATCTCGACGATAGCCACCAAGCTGAGACACGAGGGAAAGAACACCATCCTCAGGCGGAATGTTATGGCCATATTTTCATGCGCCTTGAAGATTCTCGGCGCAGCGATTGCAAGTAGTAAAGGCAGGATGAGTAAGCGCTCGCTCTCCCTCAGCTTCCATGTCTTCCTTCTCGCTTGAAGGAGTGCTTACACCTCGTCCGACTCTGCAGGAAAGGCTATCAAAGACTTGTGGCAAGGTGGCAGTGAGCTGGATGGACTGATGGCGGACATGAAGAAAGCCAAAGACAATCTTGATCGAGGGGTCAACTACGCTACATTGAAGGTGGTCTACGACCTACAAAGCAAAGCCGACCGAGAAAATCGAAACGACATCCTAGACTGGCTGTGCAACTGGGACTACGAACAACGCCATATGGAGCTAATGAAGGACATAGAACACGGGAAAACCACAGGCAGTTGGCTATTGAACTCCAAGCCGTTCCAGGATTGGAAAAATCGCCAGTCCTCTCGGCTCTGGTACACTGGGAAACGTAAGTGCTAAACCCCTACCACTTATTCGAGGGCTCTGGCTGACAGGCCTCCCAGCTGGCGCAGGAAAAAGTGTCATTGCGTAAGTTATCCTTCTCCTTCGGTGCTTTCATTGCTAGCGATTGAACGCATGCCAGTTCCATCATTGTCGAAGAGATGAATAGAACACTCCCGAAGCGAACGCCCGGAGGACCAACATTGGCCTTCTTACACCTGACCTACCGCCAAAACCCAAAGCCCACGATCGACGACTTATTAGGGGCTGTTCTAAGGCAGCTCGTGACGCGGATCTCATCACGATCAATCCCCAATGCAGTGATGAAAGCCTTCGAGGAGAAGGCTGCCAACGGTAAACATAATGGAGTATATTCCCCACCCGCGAAGGAGACAATAATCACTTTGATTAAGCAGTTGGTTGCAGGGAGACCGTTCTATGTGATTATTGATGCCATGGACGAGTGTCCTTTTGCTGTTCGGAAACCTCTGATTGATATACTTTGCTGCGCATGTGGTGATGTCCGTATCCTGGTCACTGCAAGGCTACTGGAGTACCAGGATGAGCTGGCGGAGGGATTTACCAGGGAAATACTGGCGGTTCATAAGTCAGATCTCATCGAATACATAGACTTTGTCATCGGTCAGAGTTCTATTCTGCAACGCGGGGATCCTGAAGAAATTAGAAAAAGCGTCATAGCCAAGGGCAACGGAATGCAAGTGTGCATCATAGCCCTTCTGAGTTTGCTCTCCTTCTAATGGAAAACTAGGTTCCTATTGATCAAGCTTCACATGATTGCTTTGAGTGAGCTAGATACCCCTGAAAACATTGTCGGTACCCTGCAAGAGCTACCAAAAGACCTAGAGAAGACCTTCAGTAACACGCTTGAGCGCATCAAAAGCAAAAGAGAGAATCAGCGCAGGCAAGCAATCAGTATCATTGCCTGGATGAGCTATGCCTTCCGAAATTTTCAGGTCAACGAGATGTGCGCTGCGCTGACCTTTCATACAAGCTTGCATTTCGATGAAAATGTACTGACGTCGGTTTGTTGTGGTCTTGTTGTCGTCGAAACAGACAGCATCGTCCGATTCGTTCATTACTCTGCCCAGGACTTCTTCAGAGAAAACAAAGACAGTCTTTTCCAAAGCGCCACGGAAACAGAAAGCGTCCACCTCAAAATCTCGCATTGCTGTGTCCAGTATTTGAACCACAGTGCCCCACTAGAAACCCAGGCCGTCGAACCACTCAACCAGCCCGACGATGCCGTTGTCCTAAACTCGGCATATCCGGATGATTCAATACAAGCATATAACTCCGATTATTCTGCTGATTTCGATGATTCCGAAACCTTTTCTGGCGTGAATTCCTCCCATCCATTCGCAAAGTATGCGGCAGAGTTCCTGCATGAACATCTCAATCTCGTGCCTCCCGCCGCAAACATTGAGTCAGTTATTTCATCTCTGGAAGACCTCCTAGAGAATACGGTGAAGCGAAAGTTCTACTATGCCTTGCTGCAAAGGGTCGATTGCTATCCTATAAAATCAAGATATCTTGATCGTGGCTCAAGGCGTCGCTCTAACAGACGATCACCTATTACACCCCTTCACCTAGCCGTTTACACAGGGTGCCTTCAGCTCATCAAGAGATACATCGATGGTCCAGATATCAATCAACTTGATAATTATGGCCAGTCACCGCTCATAGTTGCGTTGAAGCGCAATCGGAGTGACGTTGTTGAGATTCTTCTGTCTAAGGGAGCTTTGGTGGATTTGTCGACCAGAAGTGGTCACATGGTTCTCTTGTATGTTGCCCAGCACGATTTCAAGCGGGCAACCAACATTATCCTCAACAGCATGCCAGCTCAGAAGATCAAGTCGTCTTTCGCCGATTTGGTAGTCATTCTAGGCCTCCCCTTGATCCTTCTGATCGCGTTACTAAAACTCACGGCTCAACTGTGGATACCCTCATCTGACCCCGCCAATACTGCCTCTGAGCCATCTTGCCCTAAGGTGGACCAGCAGAATGATGTCTTAGACCGCTACCAGCGGCTTCTTGCCTTTACTTACAGGAACGAAGGTGGGGACCTAGAGGACTTCTTGAAAGACGATCGTGAGATGAGCGACTGGAAACAAGAGCGCTTGGGTGGAAATAGTGACGAGTTCGGTGACGAAGACGACGACAAGGATAAGGCCGGACCTCGAGACTTCCTCACAACAGCATGTTTCCTTGCTGTTGAACTGGGTTACACTCACTTGCTCGAGGCTTTCTTGCAAAGTGGCATTGATCCTAATTTGAAAAATTACGAGGGCCAGCCGTTACTTCACCGTGCAGTCTTTCGCGATAACCTTGGTGCTGTAAAGAAGCTGCTGGAACGGGAAGCAGACATCGACCTCGAGGACGACAACAGGAGAACAGCACTGACTGCCCACGCACAAAATAGGAATTTTTCCGGTAAGAATCATGTTCTCTTGTGGTAGAAATCTTTAATCAAGGTTGACAAAAGAATTCAGTTTTGAAATACTTGCGGCACAAGGGCGCGAATGTCAATCACACCGGCATGGATGGTGTCCATGAGCTCTACCGGGCAGCAGCTTTTGGTAACAAAGATATCATGGAGTTTTTCCTGGAAGCTGGAGTCAATCCCTCGGTTACCAATGTATATGGGTGGACCCCATTCCATGAAGCATCGGCCAATGGACATATTGACTGTGTGAAGCTTTTGATTGCGAAGAAGGCGAATCATTCTCCGGTGTCGGATACCGGGCTCACTCCTCTGGACCTGGTGAACTCGGGGCAAACCCACTATGACTGGCCTACACTCGGAAAAGACTCAGAACATTATCTCAACGGTCAACGCTATCGAGACAAGCGAGAGGGACAAGCGGAGACCGACCGCAGGGAGGATATTCGGGGACTCATTAGGGATTACGGAGCAATGACTTCAGAGCAACTATACAAGGTAGACAAGCCAGCCTTTTCACGTGTTGCGCCTGGCTATAGAAGAGGTGAAAAGGAAAGCGATTCTTCAGGAGATGAGAAAATGTACCTTGTGGGTGATGATGATTCTTACTAGAGAATGCATTCAATTATAGGTATAACGAGGCATACAGCCCTAACAGTGTTGCTATATTTTGAAAGCTTTGCATGAAGTTTGAGTTGAACACCATTTGTGCAACGATTCCACTCTTCCTGACCAGTTTTCACCTCTGAGCTTATGTCATTTTCTGCGTGCCTCTCTATAACTGAAATCTTTCTACAAAGCCTCTCTGTCTCTTTGGGTGCTAAGCACCCAAACATGCTATAGTAATAGTAGATGCTATAAATTGGAATTTTCTGCACGGTCAAATGGTTGACAATAATGGATAGATTTTTATGATAGATCTTGTAAAATCTGCTTCTACAGTGTATGAGTGTATAATACCCCGGTAGAATCAAATTGAGCTCTGCAAGCTAACAAGCATACTTGGAAAGAATTGTTGTGAGACTACTCTACTAGAATCATACTTCACTAACATATTGGCACGGTACTTTATTAAATTTTGAAAGTGCTTCTGAGAACATAAAGTAACAGCTATAAAGGACTTGTACTTGTCGCGGCTGTAAGTCTAAATTAGTTAGAGTGGCTTAACCTGACTGTTATACCTTAACCTTAACCTAACCATAACCTGGCGGTCAGATTAAGATATAAAAAATTTTTAACTATATAGTTATAGTTAGATTAAGATACAACTATTATTTTAACTGTTTATACCTGTAGGTTAGAAAAATCAGATATAATAAATAGATTAATAACTAAAGATTAATTTATAATATATATATTCTTTTTATATAAATAATATATAAAATATAATATACTTTTAATTATAGTAAAGTAATATTTTTTAGTTTTAGTCTATCTACTTTATCTGCTTTATCTGCTTTATTTAATTAATTTATTTTATTTAATGAATCTGATTAATTTAATTAATCTACATTATTTATTTTCTCTAATTTATCTGCTCTATCTAATTAACCTATACTATATATTCTATCTAAAAAATATACTATACTATGTAAAAGACTTTTATAAAGCCTAGTATAAAAAAATAGTATTTATTATTAAATATACTAATAATATTATACTACTTTTTATACTGTTTAGAACAGTAATTATAATAGTATAAAAATTATAAAAACCAGGTTTCTATCTTTATTTAAATATATATAGTATTTAAAGACTTAGATAAAAATGGTTCCCCTATTACTAGTAATAATCTATTTTTAAAATTATTTTTAAGATTATTTATATTTTTATTTTTACTAATATAAAAATATAGTAATTATTTTATTCTTCTCTTACTTCTTAGGTATAAAAATAATTAAATCTGGATTAAAATTATTGAAAATATTCTAGTATTTTTTACTAATAGTAAAATAATTAGTATATATCTAAAATATAACTGTTTTAATTATATTAAAATAAAAACAGCTCTGGTAATAGTAGTAGATATTTTAAAAACTATTAAATAAATATTTAATACTAATACTATTAGTTGCAACTAAAAGAAAAACTCTAGTTATTTAAGAGAAAATAGAAAACTAATTACAGTAGGACTTTTAGTAAGTAAAAATATTAGTATATTTTATAATATTTAAAATAATATTAGTTTAATTAAAGATATTTTTTTAAATTATATATTTTTAATATTTAGATATATTTTAAGTTTTTTGAACATCTCCACTGCAGGTAAAAGTCTTTAGGATTTAAAAATATTATAAAAGGCTTTATTTAAACTAAATAATAATATAAAGTCAGATAATAGTATATTAATTATTAGATTCTAACTATAATAAAAATAAAAGATTTTTTTAAAAATATTTTGGTACTTATTATACCAGTTAATATTATTATTAAATTATATATTTTTTTTAAACTTTTTAAACTTTAATATTAGGTTTAGAATAGTTGTAATTATATAAATATAGCCTTTTATTTAATAAGTATAATAATCGTACTTTTAAAGCTTTTAATATATATTTTATAACTTTTTAAAAATCTTCTTCTTCTAGCGCGCCTGCTTTCTTACTAGTTAATTAATTAAGTAATTTAAATAATTAAAAAGATTATTATAGATATTATAGATCTTATAAACAGTAGGCCTACTATTTATAAATAAAAAAAATATAAAAAAAATATAAAAGCTTAAAAAAATATTTTATTTATTTTTATTTAATTATAGTAGAATAAAAATAATTAATATTACTATACTTACACTACTAAATAAAACCTTTAATTACTTAATAAAGATTAAATATCTAGTAAATTATAAAATAAATTAAGTTCCAGTAGGTTTTACAGTTTAAAAAAAATAATAAACTAATCCAGATTTAAATTATTAAATAAGGTGAAACTTTTTATAGTATTAAAAGTTTATATTTATAAATTATATAATTTTTTAAATCTATAATTAAAAATTAGTATAATAAGGTATTACTAAAAAAAAACTTTTAAAAGCTATTTATAAAAGGCTACTATAAACAGTCTGTAATATAAATAATAGGCGCTGTCTGTATTAGCTTTTTATAAATAGCTTTTAAAATATATTTTTTTAAAAATTTTTAAAATACTAGAAGAGGCTTTAAAACTTTTATTATAATTTTCTTATATATATTTAATAGTACTGTTTAAAATCTTAATCCAAAGTCTTTACAGAAAAGTATTAACTATAAGCTAAATTATATAAATAAAATAAAATATATAATACTAGCTCTAAATAATCTTTAAAAAATTAGAATTAATTAAAATATTACAAAGCTGGGTGCTCTGGCTAAGCTGGATTTAAAATTTAGATAAGATTATACTAAATATTAAACTATTATTACTAATATTATTAGTTATTATATTTAATAACTAATAGGCCAGATTATATTTATATAAGACTTATAAAATAATTATAGCTAAATTCTTACTAGTATAAGATTTAGATACCGGTTAAAAGCCTAATAAAACTTTATAGTAATCTATATCTTTTATTAAAAAATATTTAATTAAAGTATAAAATACTTTTTAATTAGAGCTGGTCCAGCAGTCTACTATAAGTAATATTTAATTATTATTTAAAAACTTTAATAATAGCTGTATATATATATATTTTAATAACTTTAAAGAATATCTTTTAGTCTATACTTAATTAGAAGGACTTAGTTTGTAATAAAAAAATAAAATAGTAAAATTAATTATCTGTATAAATTAAATATATTTAATAGTTTGGAACAGTAGATAATAGATAATTATAAAATATAAAATTTTATTTTAAAAATTCTATTTATTATAGGCTGTAGAGGCCTAGAAAAAGTAATAATTAAAAAAATATCTATTTTTAAAAAATAAAAAAATAAGTAAATATATATAATAGTTTTTTACTTAATATCTAACTAATTATTTGTTTAAATATAACTAATAGTATTTTTTTTTATAATTCTTATAAAAATAATAGCTTATAAAACTAGTTTCTAAGTTTTTAATTTTTAAATATTATAAGATATAAAAATATACAGTACAGTAAATATAAAAGGTTTTATTATAAAATAATATATTTTTTTAAAAGCTGTTTTATATTATTAATAACTTCTTCTAACGAAAATAAAATAGTGGTTTTTAAACTTATATATAGGTTTTAAAAAAGATTATCTTCTACTACTAATCCTAAAAAATAGGGATTTTTTTTAGAGAGTTAGATATAGAATAATCTTTTAATTCTTTATAATATATATAATCTTAAGATTTAAAAAGAAAGAAAAGATCTAGTTTAAAAAGCTTATTTTAGTTTAAGTATTATTATAATTTATAAAAATCTAAAAAACAGAAAAAAAACTTAATAGTATTATTTAAAAATAAGCTAAATAATTATAATTAACTTTTAATTCTAAAACTACTCTGTAAGTAATAGATATAAAAAAGTAAAAGTAGAAAACTCTCTAAAAACAGTTTATTTTACTTTAAAATATATTTTTATATAAATATAATTTATTATATTTTAATATACAGCTAAAGCACCTGCTGTATTGTATATATTTTAATAGGCCTAGTAAGCAGGAAATTATATTTAAAACCTAAAATTATAGATATTTAAAACTAATTAGATTAAATAGATTAAAGATTTTATTTTTATATTTAAAAAAGGCTTTTGCAGAACCTACTATAAAAAAATATAATATCTAATATTAAACTAAATAATTATTAAAAAGTATATTTACTAAAAAAGACTAAATAAATAGTATAGTACAGAATCTTAAATAGGTTTGATTTAACAGAGTATTTAGAATTATTAGGATTAAAAAAGTTAAAAAAATTAATTAGATTAATAAAAAAATTCAGATTATTACTATTAAAGGAGTTAATTAGATTAGTAAAATAATTAAAATTATTAAAATTAAAAGAAATTAATTAAATTAGATATCAAAATTTATATTATATTATATACAGCCCGAACAGTACTATAATTATATATTTTTACATATATTTCTTACTATAAAAGTTGTTATGGGATGAACTTAGATTGGTTCTAACCTAAGCATGCCGTACAAACAAAAAGGAATAGTTAGAAAACAGAAAGGTTACGGAGGTCCGGTGGAAAAATAAAGAAACTATAGTTATATATAGTAAGTATTATAAATCTATCCTATAACAGTACCTCTTTTTTTATTTAGGTCTTTAAAGAAGACTGTTTACTGAAGCGGGCGCTGAGTATAGAACTATATACTATAGTTTTTATATAAATTTTATTCTAGATTTTAAAGGGCCTTTTACAGTTGGAAATCTAGTAGTTGTTTAGCCTATAATACAGGCAAAGATTATTCTTAAAATAATAAGAACAGTAAAATAAAACAAATATAATAAATAAAACTAGTAAGCTTAGGCAAGCTGTAAATATTTCTATAAAATTTATATTTATTAAATCTAGTTGGATAAGTATAGTAGGCTTTAAAGTAGGTTTAGTAGTAGATTTAAAAATTAGTTAGATAATATATCAGTTGGTATGCTGGATAAGTTTAATATATTTATTATATAAATAGTTAAATATTAAGTTATTAAAGTTTTTTAAAATCTAGTATAGGTTTAATTATAATCTTTAATAGAGTATAGTTATATATAAGATATCCAGCCAGGCAATTATATCAGCTTTATATAAAAGTTATTTAAAATATATAAAATAAGTAATAAATAATTTATTATTTTTTTAATATATTAATATAAATTATTGGATAGCTTTCTGTTGTTTGTATAGATTATAATATAATTATATAAAAAATTAAAAGATATTTTGTAAATCCTAGGATTATTTATTTTTTATAAGCTGGTGGAGGTGTAGGACTAAAGCCTGTTAAAACTATTTTAATTAATTTTAAATATAATTAAAAGTATTAGCTCTGAAAAGTTAGTTAGATTATAGTTTTATTTTAATAAAAAAAAGCTATATATACAGTATATATAGCTTACTATTAAAATAAGATAGATTAAACAGACAGATTCTAAATACTAAATATATAATCTATTATATATAAAGCTGTTAGATCTTAGTGTAAGATGTATTTAGATTAGTATATAGCTGCTGGATTTTAATATACTAGTTTTAGAGTTCTTACTAAAGCTGCTGTACTAGCAGAATAAAAAATATTTATTAAGATATTATAAAAAAAAATTATATAATTAGATAAAACAGGCAGGTCGGAATAGGACTAGTAAAACTTTTATTCTAAAATATATAATAATTATTTAATTACTATTACTAGTAGACAGGTGAACTATTTCTAATATTATAAAATAAACTTAGATTAGTTCTAACCTAAGCATGCTGTACAAATAAGAAGGAATAGTTAGAAAACAGAAAGATTGCAGAGGTCTGGTGGGAAGATAAAAAGACTACAGTCACATGCAGCAAGTGTTGCGGGTCTGTCCCGTAACAAAAGTAATAATTTTATAAAAAGCTGGAATTTATTAGCACTACTAAAAATTTCTTATTATTTTTTAAAAATAAAAATAAAAAAGATAGTAATACTTTACTTAGTTACTTATAATTAATTTAAAAAGCTTTTTTTTATATGCTTTTAAACAATAGTTAAAACAGTTAGATTTACAATCTATTAATCTAAATATACTTTAACTATACTAAAGCTAAAAAAGATATAGTAGATAAAACTTAGTACTAAAAATAGTTAAAATAGTTAACTGCCTGATTTTTAGCTATACTACAGTTAGATATAAAAATTTTCTTAATCTGGCTATAACCTGGTGGTTAGATATAAAAATTCTAATTAACCTGACCTGACCTGGCTGTTAGCCACTCTAAAACTAGTAATAATTACTTGATTATTTTAATAAGTTAGCTGCTATAGCTGCGGAGCTTAGCAGTAGAATCCTACTAAAATATACTTGCAGTTATTCTTTGATAAATCAGTACTATAATTAAATAATCTTTAGTCCTGTGCCGGACAGTATATATATATAGAAATATCTAAATAAATAGTATATTAATTCTTTATAATCCTCAAATACAAGTCAAGTATAGATTAAGAAGAAGACAGAAAAATATTCTGTAATTTATAAAAGATATAGAATAGTAACTTAATTATAGATAATTATTAGCTAGAAAACTATACTAAGTTCTTGACTAAGGCGCCTTGCATATCAAAGTACAGGTATATAATAATATTTATATATAATTAAAATTTGTTAGAATAGCAGTATTCTGATAGCTTATATATACTGTAAAGAAGCTATCTTATCTTTTACTAATTATAAAGACTCTCTGATTTATTCTTTCTAGATTATATTTTAGAAGATAGGCTTTTTTTGTAGTGACTGATAAACTATAGAATTTTAATAATAGATATTATGAATAGTAAGATACTGGTACAGAAGATGCTTACTGCCTGCAAATTAGTCTAAATATAAAATAAGAGTAAGCTGGATGTTGAGTCTCTTTGGATAATAATATAAGTATATTATATTCTATATTAATAAATATTTTTAATAATAAAAGATAGTATCTAAGATTATTAAAAACATTTTCTAATATATATTTGAATATATTTATAGTTCTATCTGCCAGAATACTGGTAAAAGGGCTGCCGCCAGAGGGGGTTCAGAAATTATTATCTCTAGAGTTATTAAAAATATATAAATTAAATTAAAAAAGGTTCTAGAGAAGCAAGAATTAGAGTAAGAAAGTTATAAATCTATTCTTCAGTATTGATATTTATAAAGCTAGGAGACGTCTTTATCGCTAGCCGAATATTATAAGCTTATAAAAAAAATTAAAAGTAATAAGAAGATAAATACTATCTGTTTTTAATTTTATTATCTGGTATTTTATAAATTACAAGAATATTTAGAGCTATAAAAACTTAATAATAATCTTATTAGCTTTATAGTTAAGGTTATTAGCAATTCCGGTATGGTTAAATGTTACAGGACGGATGGATTGTGCTAATCAAAACATGTCTTAAAACAAGAAGAAATAGCTGAGGAGCTATTTTATCTGTTTGTACAAAATTCTTTTATATATATACTAAGCTAGTGCTAGTTTAGTACTTAGTATATAAAATTTAAAATACTAACTAGTATCTAAAGCTAAGCTTTATAACAAAGTTTTAGTTCTATAATAAAAGCCCCCCTTTTTTTTTTAGTATCTTCTGCAGCTTTTATTTATATAAACAGCTGTTTAGGATTTAAAATAATAGTTCTGTATTTTAGCCTTTTTTAGATAATATTATAGCTGGTTAGTAGACAGTATATATATAGATAAAATCTGTATTACTTATTATAGCTTTTTTTTTATAAACCTCTTTTATCTAGTAAATACAGTAATCTTTTAATAAATAGAGTTTTTTCTTTCTATATATTCCGCTTTTATCCAGTAAATAAAATCTTTTTTTATACTATTTATACAACTAGTTCTAAGGGTGTGGTTAGGCTTTAGCTACTAGTATTATATAAAATATATAAAATACTATATAAAAAGACTACTCCCCCCCCTTTTTAGCTCTCTTTTTTTTTCTTTTATATATTTTTTTCTTATTCTTTTTATTACTAATCTATTTTTTTTTATCTATATAATTTCTATTATTTTTTCTACTTATTAATATTATACCTTTTTCTTCTAATACTAGGGCTGGTAAGCCTGATTATCTAAATAATATACTAATTTTTATTTATTATAATTTTTTTTAGGTTTTTTCTACTTTTACCAACTGTAATTTACTTTTTTATTTATATAATATATAACTATTTATAACCCCTATACTGGCAATACAAAGTACTAGATTACTATATAATTAATAGTATATAATAATAAAATCTTATTTTAATTTTACTATACTTTAGATTAGTAGTATATTTAGTATTTTTTTTACTATAAATTTAAAATAAAGATTGGTGCTTTTACTATGGCTTAAATAAAAAATCTAATAATATTTTTATATAAAATATTAATAAAATTAGATACATACCGGGTGCCTTGTTTATATTAACAGCATTTTAATTATATCTTATAGTTTAGTAATACTATATTATTATAAGTATAATAATTAAATAAAGTTCCAGCAGACTATACAGCTATTTAAATAGTAGAGCAGGGTTTATACAGGCTGTAAGTTTAAAAATTATAGTACATATTATAGTTATTATAATTTAAATAAGTCTAAATATAAGCCTATAGTAATTACTGCTCTCTTTTAAAATATTATTAAAAGATTAATAGATTAAATTAATATATAAGCTAAATTTACTATAGTAGTAGAGTGGCTAACAGCCAGGTCAGGTCAGGTTAATTGGAATTTTTATACCTAACCGCCAGGTTATGGCTAGGTTAAGGAAATTTTTATACCTAACTGTAGTATAGCTAAAAATTAGATGGTTAACTATTTTAACTGTTTTTAGTACTAAAATCTATCTGCTATATCTTTTTTAGCTTTAGTACAGTTAAAGTATATTTAGATTAATAGATTATTAATCTAATTATTTTAACTGTTGCCTAAAAGCATATAAAAAAAAGCTTTTTAAATTAAATAAAAAAATAACTAAATAAAATATTACTATCTTTTTTATCTTTATTTTTAAAAAATAATAAGAAATTTGTAGTAGTACTAATAAATTTTAGCTTTTAATTAAATTATTACTTTTATAGTAAGAAGTATATATAAAAATATATAATTATTATTTTATTTAGACTGTATATATTACAGTATAAATCTTTATACCTAATCTTATTTATTTTTTTAACTCTAATAATCTTAATTATTTTACTAATCTAATTAACTTTTTTAATACTACTAATTTTAATTACTTTATTAATCTAATTAATCTTTTTAACCCTTTTAATTCTAATAATTCTAAATATCCTATTAATCTAAACTTATTTAAGATCCTGTGCTATACTATTTACTTAGTTTTTTTTTAATAAATATACTTTTTAATAACTATTTAGTTTAATATTAGATATTATGTTATGGGACCAAGGCCCTGTTATAGAGCTCGGCTTCAGGCACCAGTTGACACCTGAGGCCTCGCACGCTAAGTACTAAACTAGCACTAGCTTAGTGCACACATAAAAGAATTTCGTACAAACAGATGAAATAGCTCCTCAGCTATTTCTTCTTGTTCTAAGGCACGTTTCGATTAGCACAATCCATCCGTCCCGTAACATATTATATCTTTTATAGTAGGTTCTGCAAAAGTTTTTTTTAAATATAAAAATAAGATTTCTAATTTATTTTATCTAGTTAACTATTAATATCTATAATTCTGGGCTTTAGATATAATTTTTTACTTACTAGATCTAATATAATAAATAAGGTGCGGCGGGCGCCTTAGCTGTATATTAAAATATAATAAATTATATTTATATAAAAATATATTTTAAAATGAAATAAACTGCTTTTATAAAGTTTTTTGCTTTTATCTTTTTATATCTATTACTTACAGAGTAGTTTTAGAATTATAAGTTAATTATATTTATCTAGCTTATTTTTAGAAAATACTATTAAGCTTTTTTTTCTGTTTTTCAGATCTTTATAAATTATAATAATATTTAAACTAAAATAAGCTTTTTAAGGCAGATCTTTTCTTTTCTTTTTAATCTTAAAATTATATATATTATAAAGAATTAAAAGATTATTCTATACCTAACTCTCTAAAAAAAATCCCTATTTTTTAGGATTAGTAGTAGAAGATAATCTTTTTTAAAACCTATATATAAGTTTAAAAACCACTATTTTATTTTAGTTAGAAGAAGTTATTAATAATCTAAAACAGTTTTTAAAAAAATAAATTATTTTTTAATAGAACTTTTTATATCTACTGTACTATATACCTTTATATTTTATAATACCTAAAAATTAAAAACTTAGAAACTAGTTCTATAAGCGACTATTTTTATGAGGATTATTAAAAAAAAATACTATTAGTTCTATTTAAATAATTAATTAGTTAGATGCTAAGTAAAGGACTATTACAGATATTTACTTATTTTTTTATTTTTTAAAAATAGATTTTTTTTTTAATTATTAATTTTTCTAGGCCTCTACAGCTTATAATAAACAGAATTTTTAAAATTAAATTCTATATTTTATAATTACCTATTGCCTACTATTCTAAACTGTTCAGTATATTTAATTTAAACAGATAATTAATCTTACTGTTTTATTTTTCTGCTAAAAACTAAGTTCTTTTAATTAAATACAGATTAAAAAATCTTTTTTAAAGTTGTTAAAAAATATATATATATAGCTGTTATTAAAGTTTTTAGATAATAAATAGATATTAATTATAGTAGACTACTGGACCAGCTTTAATTAAAAAATATTTTTTACTTTAACTGGATATTTTTTAATAGAAGATATAAATTACTATAAAGTTTTACTAGGCTTCTAACTAGTATTTAGATCTTATATTAATAAAAATCTAATTATAATTATTTTATTAGTTTTATATAAATATAATCTAGCCTATTAGTTATTAGATATAATAACTAATAATCTTAGTAATAATAATTTAATATTTAGTATAATCTTATTTAAACTTTAAGTCCAGCTCAGCCAGAGCACCCAGCTTTATAATACTTTAGTTAATTCTAATTTTTTAAAGATTATTTAGAGTTAGTATTATATATTTTATTTTACTTATATAATTTAGCTTATAGTTAATACTTTTCTGTAAAAACTTTATATTAAGACCTTAAACAGTACTGTTAAATATATATAAAAGAATTATAATAAAAGTCTTAAAACCCTTTCTAATATTTTAACAACTTTTAAAAAAATATATTCTAAAATCTATTTATAAAAGGCTAATACAGACAGCTTTTATTATTTATATTAAAAAATATCTATATTAGCCTTTTATAAATAGCTTCTAAAAATCTTCCTTTAGCAATAGCTTATTATACTAATTTTTAATTATAGATTTAGAAGATTATATAATTTATAAATATAAGCTTTTAATACTGTAAAAAGTTCCAGCTTATTTAATAATTTAAATTTAGATTAGTTTACTATCTTCTTCTAAACTGCAAAACCTGCTGGAACTTAATCTATTTTATAATTTATTAAATATTTAATTTCTGTTAAGTAATTAAAGGTTTTATTCAGTACTATAAGTATGATAATATTAATTATTTTTATTCTATTATAATTAAATAAAAATAGATAAAATATTTTTTAAGCTTTTATAGCCCTTTTTTCTTTTTATATTCTATCTATTTAAGAATAGTAGGCCTATTATTTATAAGATCTATAATATTTATAATAATCTTTTTAATTATTTAGATTATTTAATTAATTAACTAGTAAGAAAGCAGGCGCTTTAAAAAAAAGATTTTTAAAAGCTTATAAAATATATATTAAAAGCTTTAAAAGTACTACTATTATACCTACCAGATAAAAGACTATATCTATATAATTATAACTATTCTAAATCTAATATTAAAGTTTAAAAAGTTTAAAAAGAATATATAGCTTAATAATAATATTAACTGGTATAATAAATACCAAACTATTTTTAAAAAGATCTTTTATTTTTATTATAGTTAGAATCTAGTAATTAATATACTATTATCTGGCTTTATATTATTATTTAATCTAAATAAAGCCTTTTATAATATTTTTAAATATTAGAGACTTACCTGTAGCAGAAATATTTAAAAAACTTAAAATATATTTAAATATTAAAAATATATAACTTAAAGAAATATTTTTAATTAAACTAATACTATTTTAAATATTATAGGACATACTAATATTTTTACTTACTAAAAGTGTTATTATAATTAGTTTTCTATTTTCTACTAAATAGCTAGAGATTTTCTTTAGTTGCAACTAATAGTATTAGTATTAAATATTTATTTAATAGTTTTTAAAATATCTACTACTATTACCAGAGCTGTCTTTATTCTAATATAATTAAAGTAGTTATACTTTAAATATCTACTAATTATTTTACTATTAGTAAGAAGTACTAAAATATTTTTTATAATTTTAATCCAAACTTAATTATCTTTATATTTAAAAAATAAAAAAAGAATAAGGTAATTACTACCATCTATATTAATAAAAATAAGAATATAGATAATTTTAAAGATAATTTTAAAAATAGATTATTATTAGTAATAAGGGAACCAGCCTTATCTAAATCTTTAAATACTATATATATATAAATAAAAATAAAACCCCAGTCTTTATAATTTTTATACTATTATAATTACTGTTCTGGATAGTGTAAAAAGTAGTATAATATTATTAATATATCTAATAATAGATATTATTTTACTATACTAGGCTTTATAAAAGTCTTTTACTGTTGTACAATACCTGTGGCATGCGGCCGCCAGCCCCCACTCCGACACTGATATTGTTACTGATTTGTCGGGCTTCCAATCCGGGTTCTTATATTAGTATGAACCTGACCTCTCTTTTCCAAAATATATATAAGCACTCGAAATCCTTAGGAGATTGGGAATCCCTAAGGATTAGTCTTGCAATTATAGGAGACTACTTCTAACTGCTTTTGCCTTGCCTAACCAACGTGTCTACTGCATCAAGTAGTTCCTGACATTTACAGAGTACAATATATTTTTTAAATAGAATATATAGTATAGGTTGATTAGATAGAGTAGATAAAGCAGATAAAACAGATAAAATAAATTAATTAAATTAATTAGATTAATTAAATAGAGCAGGTTAATTAGATAAAGTAGATAAAACAGATAAAGTAGATAAACTAAAATTAAAAAATATTACTATACTATAATTAAAAATATATTATACTTTATATATTATCTATATAAAAGGAATATATATCTTATAAATTAATCTGTGGTTATTAATCTACCTATTATATCTAATTTTTCTAATCTGTAGGTATAAACAGTTAAAGTAATAGTTATATTTTAATCTAACTATAACTGTATAGTTAAAAGATTTTTATATCTTAATCTGACTGCCAGGTTATGGCCAGGTTAAGGTTAAGGTATAACAGTCAGGTTAAGCCACTCTAGAAGTATCTAAAAATATAGGTCTTATTAAATATAAGTCTACAGACTGTAAAAAGGAGCTAGAAAAAATAGGACTATTTTATAAGTAGGGCTATAATCAGATTGTAAGTAATACAACACCCAGCACCCCAGCTGTACTTATAATATTACTAAAAGCAATCCCAGGCTTGTTGCAAACTGACTTTTGGAAGGTGGTAGTTCCCTTACAACTAATTAAAATAGGCAGAGGGGCTTGGAACCACCTCAAGCAACATAGAAAAAGCAGGACCTCCCATCACTATTAAATTTACTTACCCGCAAGCAAGCCCAACCTGGTACCTGGAATTATAGTGAACAGTTTAATCCTGAGTTAAACCTCGTATGGCGGCCTGCAAATGTATCTAATGGCTGCAATATTAGTTATAACTACAGTACTTCGAATTGGGAACTCATTTTGCCTGCTGCATATATAATATCTCTTCACCTGATCTTTGTCTCTTGTTGGTTACTGTTTCTTCTAGCTTTCAAATAGTTACTATCGATACTTTTTCGCTTTGACCTGTTCTGTTTCACGCGTATAAACATGCATGCTGTCTCCTACATGCATACAAAACCCAAAATAAATAGTACAGTGACATATATGATGAAGTCTGCATATAGAGAAAAGGCACTTCATACTTCATTTGTACATCTGAAACAAATCACCCAACTTTATGGCTGTAATCGCCTGCCCTGCTCGACACTGAGGCTCGTGCGGAGCTTGATAGCTTACAAAAATAGTATGACGGCCAAATGATTCGGTCTCACTCCAGTCACCCGCAAGCAGGACTGATCTAGTGAACAGCATGACTGTAACTTAAGTCAGCTTTCTGGAGCAGAAATATCATACATTAACTCGATCTCAAAGATTGTTACCCTGAGCCTGCCCTAGCCGCTCCCAAGCTCGAACGCCCTCGGCGCGAATGCTTGCTTTTACTTTACAGCTTTGCAGCCAGTATTGAGAAGACTGCAGGCAGAAACGCAAATAAGCTGCAGTCATCACCATTACCCTCTCTTTTTCTGGTTTTATCTATTCACATTTAGACAATGTCGGCAAGGCTAATGAGCATGCTCTACTCTAATAAGTGCTATGCTTCGC